GGATTTCGGTGGAAAATGAGCCGATAGAGAGTTTAGCATAGATTCAAAACAATCATATCGCCATATGAACTCTGATAAATATGAAATAACAATCCAAATGAAATAACATTTCCAAAGCGTACGTTTACCAAGTAAAAGTTTTATGTTGTGGGAATTGGTACATTTTCGTTTCTTCGGTAAAATATTTCCCTCCTGAAAAAATAAAATTGCATCTTGTTTTGTTTTTGGCAAATCCCAAAGACGAATTTTTGTAGCACAAAAAATGGCGACAAAAAAGAATTGTTTTTTTGTTTTTGTTTCGTCAGCATTCTTTATTTTACGTTTCTTAGTTTCTAAATAATGATTTTTATTGAAACATGAAATTTTTTGATAAAAATTGTTGATAGAAAACTTTGTTTACAAAATTAAATTTCATAAAATTATGAGGCTTATGTATACTTTTTGTTCATTTTAATTTTTGAAGTAATCTGATTCTTAAAACTATAGAATGTAAAGTTTAAATGGGCCTTTCATGTTATATCATTAAATTTAGTAATACTATTTCTCGGGCATTAGGTTTTAACTCTTATAAGAATATACATATTTTTTTCTGTTAATGTACAAATATTTTTCCGATGTGTTTTGGATATTCCTTCTCTAATAAAAAGAGATACCATTTTGTTTTCGTTTGCATAAGAAAGAATATCAAGCATTTTTCTTTTTTAAATTTAATTAGCCACAATAAAGAAGGAACGTTGCAATGCTACGTGCTACATTAACGACGTCTCTAGAGTAACTGAATGACTGTTCATATAGAAATCGCAGGTATTAGTCTCATACAACAACGCCCCCTATAGTTCGTTGCGATCGCGAATACTTTACCTACTCAGGCTGTTAGCAAAATTTGAATTTAAAAAGTTTAATATTCACCTGTACAAACAAATAAATAAAAAAAAAAAGAAAAAGAAAAAAAAAATTTTCTGCTACTAGTTAAATTGTCATTCGCGTGAAAAGTTACAAGAAAAATAAAATTTAGTTTTAAACTATTTGTTGTTAGTTTTGTTTCGGTCTAAACATTAAAAAATGTTCCATGGTTATTTATCTGGTTGGGCAACTAAGTTCCTTCCTTTTTTAAAAGTTTATTTTTCATAAAAATTGAAACTCACTAAGCAATGATAGATTCTTTTGTTGTTTATAACTTCTTCCCACCGTTCAGTTGGATTTTCAATATCTCGTTCGCATGAATCGCCCAATTTTAACTCAAAAAACTAAAACTGGATGGCGAGAACGAGACGTGTCTTTGAGGCCAAAATCTGCATTTTTAAACTTAATATACCAATTATGAGCAATTTTTTCAACTGTGGTACGCTCTCCATACACAGCACATAAGTCACGAGCAGCTTTTGAGACTTTGAATTCTTAATTAAAAGCGAAAAAAATGAGTATTTTTCTCAACTTTTCATTATAATCTGAAAAATAACATAAATCTACGCCAAAAAAAACATGATATAGATTCTGGTTGAAAAAATTTACAAAGAAAAAATACTAAAACTGACAAAAATGAAAAACCCCAAAAAACTATGGATGTTTATTTGTCAACCCAATGTTTTAAATCTTCTTTCAAGCTAGTTAAGTTAGAGAATTTCATTTACATGGCTCATTATTTTCGATTTACATTTATAGCTTTTGCACGGTGACTAACATTAAGGTGTTTCGAGTAATTTACAGTTTCGAAAGTTCGTAACTCTCTATTCTGACAAAAGAATAAATAAAAATGCATTGTCGCTAACAAGAAAAGAGGAATAATTTGAGGCAAAAAAACAATGAAACCGAAAAGAAGATGCAAGGAACATTTAGATAAAAACGCGGAACATCTTATTTATTCTATCCAATAAATGTCATTTTTGGAACAAAAAACATTTTAAAGCATTCTCTGCAAGAGTGACGCCATTTATTCTGAAATTTGGCTAAAAAAATACAGCAGTCTCTTATTTCCAATTTTTAGGGATGCAATAAAGGTAAGAACCTTCGAAATATTTTCTTGAATTTAGAAATTTTAGTTCATTTCTTTACGATTCTTCCTTTCTGCCTTCACTTTAACGTATATGTAAGTTTTATTCAACTGCAGTACATAAAAAATTAGAGAACAGTGTGATAATTTTTTAAAAATTATTAAACGCTGATGCTCGGATTTTTATTAACTAACAAGGGAAACTAGGGAAGTGTGACTCGCCAATTTTGATATAAACTAGTGGGATGTATGCCTTATGAGGAATGATTTTAGGGGCAACATTCGTTTCGGCCCATAGAAGGTCCTATGAGAGATAAAAAATAATTCAATATATAGAAAAATCGGTATTTTATTACTTCAATTATCTATTCAATTCAATTCTGACTATTAGTTATTGTAATTATCTCATACTCCAATTAATTTTGTGGTACTTTCACGTGCTATATAATGCATATTTATTGTCAAAATTGATTTCGAAAATTTTATATTTCTGCAGTTTTTCAGAAAAACCTGCTAGTTTAATTTAAAAAAAAATTGACATCAAATTCTTTTAATTTTTTTCTTCAAAACATTTTCCAAATTAATCGGAGTATGTAATTGCAAATCAATTAATTAATAATTAATTAATAATTATTTAATAATTAATTAGTTATAAATTAATTGGAGTATGAGACAATTACAATAACTCTACAATAACTAATAGTCTGCATTGAAGTAATAAAGTACTGATTTTTCTATATATTGTTTTTATCTCTCACAGAACCTTCTATGGGCCGAAACGAATGTTGCCCCCTAAAATGATCCCTCATAAGGCATACATCCCACTAGTTTATTTCAAAATTGGCGAGTCACACTTCCCTAGTTTCCCTTGTAAGAGACAATGAGAATGAATAATTTCAAGAAACTGAGGCGAAAAAATACACTTTTGATAATGTAAAAACTTTATTTAATTCAAAATCTATAAAAGTGGGGGAAAAACGGACTTGTATAGTGCGTTTAAAAATAGTCGCCCATTTTCACGACTCGCCGTATGTGAATTAGGCAAAAACAGATTTGTACAACAAAACGTCACGTAAAAAGAAAAAGTAAACGGAACTTAAAAATCTGGCAAACCAGACGTGTTTTAAAATCCAGATTACGAAATATATTTACCCGTTCTTAAGAATTCGATAAATCCTCTATTGCCGCAAATTGTTGGAACCTTGGTCATATATTTAATATAGATCATGCCAAAATCGTCTCTATCCCTGTCACATCAGCACGTCTTGATGCTTAGGAATCTTGCTTTCATACAATAGACAACTCCCTATTNGAATCTGAATTGAACAACCTGATAATGCTCACTCTGGTTATTATTTCCCTTTTTAAAAGTGCTATATGTTGAGCCACCTCATGTGACATTTGCCATGTGACATTTTTAGCAGCAATCATTGGTCGACTTTCTAACGTTGCCATTCGGGGAGTTGTAATGAGGCTTTTTTTTGGTGCCGTGTAAGAGAAATATATATATAGATGTTGCATTTACGCATTTTTAAAAGAGAAAAATAGATCAACGTCCTTACAAAAAATACCCATGTAACCACGTATATACACGTAACTTCTTACCATCTATTATTTAATAAGACTTAAACTCATACTCTTGGTTTTGGGATTTAAAGTAAGCAGACCTAAATAAAACTAAATCAAGGCATACATTATTTTCTTAAATCAAAACTCATAAAAAAAATTCAAATTAAGAATTCATTTAAAACTTTTTTAAAAAGTCCTTATGCGAGTATAGTCAACATTCTTACTGAACCTTACTGCTAGAAGAAAAAGTAAGATTTTGCGAAACCCTGGCAAGCAACATAGAGACGCCTATTCGATTCACATTTACATTATTCTATTTAGTAACCTAAGTAACATAAGTTTTTTTATTACAAAAATAATATCGTTATGTTATTCTTTTCATTGCATTGTCTTTTTACTAACTACATATTTACTTTCAATTAACGGATAAATTTCTGAGAACAGTATTATTATCAGCGATGGATGAAATCGAACGAAAAAAAAAGGAAATTTTGGGAAAAGAAAAAATTGAAAAAGTGTATATTGATAAAACTTAAAATCTATAATCTGATCTTATTTTTATGCAAATATATGCAGAACTTCCTAAATTCAATACTTCCAACAAAGTATCAGTTTTATATGATAGATTTGATATTATTAGTGTCGTTAAGGGACAGTTGAATATTTCAACAAAACGAAGAGAAAAACGCCCACCTCACAGTTTAAGATTAAATTTAGAATTACTATGCTCTTTGTAAATAGGTGTCTCAAGGCTTCGCGATTTTTCCACTCTCCTCACTTTTACCCTGTCAGTTGCCCTTGTTTCGCCAAATTTTGCTTTTTTTTCCTCAGTAGTACATTTCAGTAAGAAGTTGGACTGTTCTTGCGTAGGGAAATAGCGAAATGTGCCGAAACGGGGAGGGTAAAAGTGTGGTGAGGGGAAAAATCGGGTATCCTTGAGACGTCTAATTAGTTACAAAGAACATAATTCAAAGACCTAATAACATGTTTTGTTGTATTTTTTTCAGCCTGCACCAGGGTTGTGAAGTCGAAAAAATGTGATCAAATCCGATTCCAATTGGTTAAAATTTGGGTCCTGCAGGTGAGGAGAATTTTTTTTTTTTAATATACTTATGAAAATTATTTAGACAGTTATTTACAATTAAGTAATAGAAACAGTATGACAGGAATGAATGCTATGACAATCAATTAGGTTATGACTAATAACAAACTTATTTACACATTTGGAAGTTTTTGAACCAATGTTCGACTGAACTAAGAAAAAAAAGCAAGAAATTATTGAAAAATAGAGAATACAAGAAATTTTTTTTAAAAGATAACTTTTAAATTTATAAATACCAAAACCAAATAAAATTTATCAAGTCCAATTAATTAAAATATATGCAAATGAATTAAATGTATTTATTATTTGTAATAATTTTCTAGTTCCTGAATATTCACTATAAAATTTTTTTTGTCATAAGATTTATACGTGAGCGAGTGAGATATTTTATTGATATCGAGCTCTTTTCTTATAAATTTCGGCCCAATCAAAATATTTTTCTCATCCATAATTATCAAAATTAATTTTTTCAATTGTTGTATCCATATACTATTTGAAAATGAATGTCTGTCCTTAATAGAATCCCAAACCATCCGCCCGAGAGCGATGAAATTTGGCATACTGATAGTTGGAATCACGGGAAATGTCACTGTCAAGATAACAACCGTTCAATTGGAACGAGCAAAAACTAATTTCGTTTCAGATTAGTAAATTGCAATTTAAACTGCAGATCATTCTCATTTTAGCTTGCAACTCCAATTAATGGAGAGTTTATAGTACGTTTTTAATAATTATTTATCTTCAGTTATGTGAGTACAAGTAAAATTACTTGAATAGTTTTCGTGGTTCATTGTGGTTTCACTGAATTAGTATTTTGAAAACGCGAGTTTATTTTGCCTATAGTTATCCCTTTTTAAAACTTGTTTTTATAAACCTAAATAAGGAAAAGTCAACGGGAATGTGAAAAAATTAAAGTTGAAGTTGTGCGCCAAGTGCCGATGTTATTGTTTTAGGCCATTAAGGCGATTGTTCTTGCTTTCCAGTGGCTCCACCTATGACAAAGAATTCGATTTCTGCCACACCCATACGTCACACCCGTTTATTGGGTTGACCCATTCATACATCCACAGATCGTAATTCTGACCCGAATCAGAGAACGTTCATTCTCTAATTCAGTACCGTCAGAGGTATAATTTGCAATAGGAAAATGCAGGACTTTGTGACCTGACAGATTTAACACGCACCAGTCACCATTTATTACACGGGTAGTCTTCGGCCGGCTGTATTCGAACACCCACTCTCACGAACGTGAGTCCAGCGCCCTGCCAACCAGGATATCCCGGCCCACCAAGTACCGATTCAAAAGGAAAATTTACGGTGATACGACAAAAACTTGACGATCTCGGGATGGTCGCGATCAATAGCATTTTCTGTGTGCCGAATAATACCGTCTATGGTTTAATTACTTTCAGCTATAATCAAGACAAAAACGAATTTCATTGATAATGCACGTTTTCAGTTACTATTGCCCGCAATTTAAGTTAGCACAATTGGGTACTTGCAACTCGAGAAGAAGTGCCTAACCACGTGATTTAAATTTGATTTAAATAGATATCTGTAAGAGTGTGAGTCAAACATGATTGGCTTCTGAGTCGACAATGCCACGATTTACTTAACGATGACGTCACTTGTAGGTATCCAATTAAATCAATGTGTGCCGTTTTTCGAGATTTCGTTGATGACAGTTGTTATTTAAAAATTATTGGATAGTTTAGAGCTTATATAAATTTTTCAATTTTATTTATCTCATTTTTTTTTTAAATTTTAAAACAGATTTTTGATTTTTATTTTATTATTTTTATATTTCTTATTTATTTTATTTTTATTGTTTTTATATTTATTACGATTTAGTATTTAGAATGAATTTTCGGTTTCAAAATCTATGAGTTGTGATCTATAGTATTGGGATGCCATAGGTAACTAAAAATGTAAGAAGTGGTAAAAACTCAATTAATTTTTCATTTATTTAAGTTATTTAATTATTTAATCGCAGCTGCCATTATGGAATACATTATGGCATACATTGTAAATTATTTATATTTAAGGCGAAAAATTTCTTTGCTATCATCTTTAATAGAAAACTAAAAGAAATACGTCAGAAAAGTTGCCAATTTTAACATCTTTTATTGATTTCTTGCTTTTTATTAACAGTCATCACTTTTTACATTTTTTCGTGGCCTGTAGTCATTTTTAGTAATAAAATGAAAAGTTTGTGTGTGTCTGTCTTTCTCTTACAACTCCAGAACCGTTTCTGCTATCATCCTGAAATACGGACAGTGGTTGCAAGGGGCAAATTCAGCTCCTGCTCCGAAAATTTGTTGAAAATTTCAATGAGTTCATTAGGTAGAGCCATTTCAAAAATAGAATTTTCTCATTGATTTGGTTTTAAATCAAATTCTACTTTTTTTCCTTCAGATATTTTAAAAATAACATTAGTGTTGCTTGATAGCTTATCGCTCTATTTGTCCAAAAAAGAAATTTATTGTTTTTTAAATCCTTCATCGTGAGGGACGAGACAACTCGCCGAGAGTAAAGAGGAGTATAACTTAATATCTTTTCCCTAATTCGTTAAAATTTCGAAAATAAAAATGAACATTTATTTCTTAGTGAGATAAATAGCAGTGAACAAGAAAGCTTTTACGAGGCTCACAATAATTCTCATAATAAATAACTTTTGTATTACTTTTATAACAATTCAATAGTTTTGTTGCTGCCTGTGAAATATCTTTTCAAATACATACGAATATCCTTCGCAAGTAGTCAAATAAGCTGCACCCTGAAGCGGGTGACGCTGCCCGATCACAAACTTTGCTGTCACCTGAATATGGGTGACGCGGCAGTCATCGTGTAACAGGAATTTGCACTTTGATTTAATTTTAGTGCTGCGGGGAGCTCTAAAAAAGTGCAGGAGGTGAGACAAAGCACGACATTGTGGCTATGAAAAAGTTTTAATATTTAATTATTTTTTATTCGTTATGTCGTATAAACTAAATGATTAAATTAAACGTCGTAGAGTAGGCGGACTATGTCATAATCGTATTGCTAAAGTTACTGGAAAACTCTCGTTCATTTTGTTCCTAGCTATGCTTTTAGAACGTTTTTCTTTAAAACTCAAATCAACGGAACTTAAAATAAAAAGAAAATATAATTAAAAAGAATAAGTTATGTGCGGAAAGGCGAAATTGATTGAGAAATGGTATTAATTTGTTTGGGAGAATCGTAAAAAATTGCGTATCTATTATTGATGCCAATGATGCTTAATTAATTTTTGATTCAATTAATTTTGGCAATGGATATTCATTGAGGCAAAAATAAATAAATCAATGTACTAAGAAGAGAAATTAAAGGAGAACTGTTATTAATTACTTAGTTAGGATAAAAGTAGAAAATTTACGAACTATTTTTGAAATTTGTAACGTTTATTTTAGAAATATGCATTAATTGTAATCTGAAATAAATTAAGCTGTGTACTCATGAAGCAATATTTAATTATAAATGATTCTAATTCATTTAGAAGAAACATGATACGTGTCAAGACATGCTTATTTAATTTTTTAATTGGCTCTACTGGCATTATGGTATTTGGAGCAGTTTTCAAAAGAACTTAACACACTAATACAGGTGTAAAATATCATATTTGTATGTTTGGTACTGCATCAATACTGTGTAGTTTTAGTACAGATACTGAGAAATAGGCTTTTACGGCCACTCTAAAAGGGTAAGTATCGAAAAAAATGGGTTGATTGTATTAATTTTTTACTTTTATGAGTTGACCTCGAGCAACAGCATTATGTCAAATGATTCGTAATACAATTGTTTATTTTGATCGAATGAGCTTCTTAAAAACTTGCTTTGCTTAGTCTAATAACTATCAAACAGCTTATTAAGAGGACCTTTAAGACCTGTACTCATGAAGAACTTATCGACCGTACTTCTACAAAGTCTTGGAGGACTATTATCCTAAATTTGCGAAATGGCCCAAGACGAAGAGCGGTGGCTGAATTTCGCTGTCTGTCTAGATCTGTCTAAATTTGGTATCGTTCCTTCCCCGGTATGCACTCTTTGCAGTTCTGGTGAGGACATGAGCTCCATCCACGCACCTTCTCCGCAGCTCTGCACTTTACTGGAATTCTATTACTGGGAAGCAAGAGACATATTGTGATTAATAGACTCTGTTGCAGCATTTTTTGTTTCTGTTCTTATTTTCATTAGATGTGTATGTATGCTGTTACTGTCTATAATCTGCCGTTGGAAAAAAAAAAAGTCTAATAACTTAAAAGGGAGATAAACAGAGCCTGACTGAGGCAGGGGCATGCAAGGCAGTTGCCCCGGGCCCCCACATCAAGGGGCCCCCTAATCGAACAGAAATTTTATTTTACGCTTGATGAACTTTTCATTGCTTTAATGAACTTTTTTTAAACAAAATATCAGTACAGTGTAAAATTCGTCAGGTTTATGTCAGCTTCTTCATTAATCTATCGTATGAACGCAATCTATATTTCGTAAATCCATGACTTTCTAGGGCTGAATTCAGCTAAATTTTTGTAATTACGATGGGAAAATTTAGCCAATCAAAAGCCTGTTTCTTTCACTATCGCAAAATGCGATATGTTTACAAAAATCCAGGCTTCTGATTGGCTTTATTGAGCCATCGTAATTGTGAAAATTTAGTTGAATTCCACCCTAATGTCAATAAGGATATGAATTTTTCGCAGCTAGATGACAAAGTTAACAATCAGAAAGCTGTATTCGGTATGATGGATATAGAATTGTCCGAAAATCAGTAAAATGGACAGAACGATATTTTGTTTGACCTTTAGAGGGGGACTTTAGACTTTATAGTTATATTAGAAGCTCTAGTTATTTTTCTTGCTATCCATAATGAGGTGAAAAACTTAAATACCCCCATAAAGTTCAGTTCTTCATTACTGAAGTCGTGAAACAGAGGGGGGCACATAAAGAAGTTTTTGCCCCGGGTCCCAATCAG